ACCAAAATATAAGCCTTTATTTGTCACCAAAAAGCAAAACTATCACTATCAGCTGTTCTAAAACATACTTTCTCTTCATAAGAGAGGCTTTGCCCATATTTGCAAAATCTGAAAGATGTTTGAGAGTTATATCTACATTTTGCTGGCATGGAATCATCATTTAAATATCAACTCTTTCTCTATTTGCATGGGACAATGGAGAAGAAATGTACACAGAGGAGAAGTTCACTATCAGCTAATCATTTGTGACAGTTCATTTTGTTACTGCTCAGCAATAGCCTTTGAGAAAATATTTCAAGTCTTGAGTTTGCCAACCGAGTTCATAACTAGACCCAGAGAACTAAAAGAGTGGCAGGAAAAAAACAAGCTGGGATAGTCATTGTCTCTGATACATACACCTCTAGAAAAGATGATGCTTCAGCAAGTATCTGTCAAGAATGTTATGAATGTTGAGTAGTTGTTCCAGACAAAGGAGCACAATCTATCAAGCTTTTCTACTAAATGTTCATACAAGCCCCACTCTCACAATTACTTCACCTAGATGGCAGTGATAAGATAATCAGTGCAGTGGATCGTCACATCAATCAGAGCAGACTGGATATCTTTTTAAGATCGATTTGGCTTAATAGAGCTATTAATTATCCCAGCTCAACCAAGCCGATGGAAAGAAAACATTCTCATTTTGACACACACAAAATACTCTTAACTACTTGGATGGCTCAAAAATCTTTATCCCTCATGCTCAGAAAAGTCCAGCACTGAAAAACAAAGGAGATTTTAAAATTATTTAAACTATTTAGAATTTTACTTTACTCTTATGCATAAACTTTTATCTTTAAACGTACTTACAAACATACAAGGAATTCCCTACAACAGAAATGGTAATGACTGCCTCCAAGGGTCGACCTCTGTGTATTAGAATAGTGAAGAACAATCATGAAAGAGCAACCAGTTGACGCAAATTGGCGATTTGAACACAGATGACATCACAGTGCAGATGATTAGATTTTACTGTCTCAATCTGAACATGCACAAAATGGCTTAAGCAGTAAAAATGACTGTGCAGTGTCTTGTGCATTTTGATCATAAATAAAAGTACCAACCAGCACCAGTACCAATAAAAAATATAAATAGGATAGAAAGGCTCTGTTTGAACATTTACTTAATGTTCTTGGTTGGACTGTACAGAAATAACCTACCACCTTACTTATGAACTATTCTCTGAATGATTTTTTTAGTGATTTAAATATAAATTAATGAAAGCTGATTGCCATGTATTTGGAATATCAAATGGTTCCCGACTTCACAATGAATTTAAGCCCATGCTTAATTTTAAGCATTTGAGTAAACCGCTAAGTAAATGAACTGGAGCCAATTATGAGCCAATTACGAGTCCTCTTTAATTACTGCTTGAAACAGTGCCAAATTTCTATTGAAGGAAAAGGAAAACATTTCTGATCTGTACCGATGCTTAAAGGCTATTAAAACTGTTACCTTTGCCTTCTTTTTAAAAATACTTCTGTGAAATACATATTGATAGATATACCTATAGTATTCATCAGTGCTACATCTATGACATCCTGCAATAATTAATAAGCATATACTATGCCAATATACTGGTGATTTGTTGGGATCAAAAACTAAAACCAGCTAAAACTGCAGTGGGACAGCAGTTCTCTTCATAGTATTTCTGCTCGCTGGAAAACGTGGAGGTGTGGGCACTGCAATGGCAGATGACAACCTGAGCATCATCAGATGACAAAATGAGGAGACTGGAGAAAAAAAGGCCTCACCTGTTGAACTCTAATGAAGATGGACATGCTCTTCTCCCAAAACCACTTACCAATGTAGCTATGTCCTATTTTTTGGCTATTCCCTTACAATCTTGCAAATAAATGCACCTACTGCTTCCCCAACAACAATATCTTAGGGTTGCAGTTGCAGATATACTTTCAGGACCGTAGCAATTACAGTACTTAGCATGTAGGAGATAAAACACAAACAATCAGTGATGGACTAAAGCACATTTTTTTAATGATCCAAGTTAAATGTTTGTGAGAACCTACACCTATATGAAAGACTCCTAGGTGAATATCTGTGGAAAAGAGTATGATGCCTTGTGTTTTGTAAATGCCATAGAAATGAGTCAGACTGTTAAGGCTTGATGCTGTACTAGCATTTGAAAATACCTAGCAGATGGTTTACTGGAACTTTCTGCAACAAATAAAAGGTATAAATTACCCTCACCAAACAAAACAGCACTCAGAAGATTCATATATCTTAAGTGCTGATACATTGTTTTTCCTCTTCCAATTCAGTGGCATTGATCATCATCTATAACACTACCCCATGGGACTTGTGCTGGATCACGTTTAAGTAAAAATGGAGAAAGGGGAAGTAAGAGGCAGCAGCAATTTTCTTCAGATATGTTAGCAGTTACTAACAGAATTTTAGGATAAAACCAATAAGCTGCCCAAATGTTCACTGTCTGCTCGGTTGTGTTTTGCTTTTTTCAAATGCTGAACGGAAACCTTTCTTGAGTGTTTTATAAAAAACACCATTTTTTATTCAGCAGCACAATGCCACTGTACCTGATTCTCAAGTTACTTAATATGGCAGTTTAAGTACCAGTTCATAAACCTAATCAAACCCAACGCTTCTCCCCTAATATGAACCTACTTTTAATTCTGAACTTCTGCTTCTGCTTTTTAATCACTGGACTTTCTCCACACCAATATATACAGGATATGATCTCTGCACGATGTTAATGAGAGTTTGGTCATCAGCTTTCATGGGATCAGGAACTGACCCATAATGTTTTATAAAACAACAAAAAGGAATGTATTTATGGTTTTATTATTATCCCAACTAAGAAAATATAGAGAAAGGAAAGACAGTATATGGTCCAGTCTATATGCACATGTGTTACTTGTATTAATATCAATGGGATTTAAAAATACATATGGAGAGGATAAGATATATCCCTATGTGTTCAGCCATATGCTTAAGGAAGCTCCCCAAATGCTTGTAAATACGATCATGCTTTCTAACATACTACGTATTTATTTGAACAACGTTAAATCTCTAAGCCCTACTTTCCAGCCCATTAAAGCCTCAAATAATTGTTTATTTCCAGTTTAAAGTTACTCTCTTTTTTAGCCATTAGAAAGATGTCTGTAAGCACATTTCCATGATATTTGGGGAATTAGAGAATTGATAATAACTCTCCCATTATCCGAAGGGGTATCTCTCTGGGAAGAGGAATACTCATGATGAACTATATTTTAGTGAGGAATTCTTTCCAGAAGGTTTTGGGACAGGCCCAAAACATGTTAACTGAAAGGTCTGGAATGCTACTTACACAACAAACATGTGTTCGCGTTGTAGACCTCGGACAACTACATTCCTTACGGAGGCCAAAGACTTTGAAAGCTAGCCATTTTTCTGGATAGACTTGTTCTTATTTTCTTTGTTTTTAAAGTTTTGGACACAAGACAAGGGTCTGACCCACTACGCACAAGAGTGTTATATTCTTAGTTTCCCATATGAAAGAGGTCACTAGGTTTCATCTCACGATTTATGATCCGGTGCAAGCCATCTTTAAATGCGATAGTTTGAGATAGATTATGGAATATCCTATGCATTTTAGAAAGCTATGATGATGTGGTTGCAACTGCTCATTTTGTTTGGCTCATCTGTAGCTTCCTTTCAGCTGAACCTTGGTAAATGACTTTGTGAGGACTCAGTTATAGTTTTATCAATTAAAAGATGATTGGGATGGTTTACTGGATTAACTACTTCAAATACTGTTGAATCCACAAATATAAAGCAATTTTCATGGAGATGTAGTCAGGACATTTGTGGTTCTCTTGGTACATATAGTACCAATATGTACCATCTTACATGTAAATGCAGTGCAGAAGCAAAAGCCAAGTTTACAGCCAGCTACTGAAACTCACCTTCTTAGCTTATTTGACATATTTCTTTTGAGGCAAAGGAAATATGGCTACTTAGTGTTTTTTTTTAATATCACACAGAACAAAAATTTATGTTGTGGTATCGCCATTTCATTTTCTTGCTGTTTCTTCGTGACCATAAACAAGTTTTGGAAATTCAGCTTTTACTTGACCTTTTAAATCTCAAATTATGATAAAACTCAGACTTTTCTTCCTTCTATAGTACTTCATACTTTGTAAAATAGAAAAACAAAACAAACAGTCATCGTCTTTTTAAACTACATCAATGAATGTTGAAGCCAGATCCGGTTTCCCAGCAAGGAATTATTAAAAGACAGAAATAGTCTAATGACCACAGGAAATCTTTAAGCACCAAAATGGGGACAAAAGTCTCCTGGGGAAAAGACAATATTTCCTACATGGTCATTCATGTCTCCTTGTAATACAATACAGGGGTATTGTCTGTTTGTCTGCTTAAGCAGATGCACAGAATAAAATTAGAAACAACTCCTGACTACAAAAACATTTCAAATGCTAGATGCAGGTATGCAGGTACATGCATGGCAATACTGACATCACTAGTATGCCATGATATTTTAAAAAAAAATCATAACGAGCTAGACCTTTGATCATTAATATAAACACCATTCTTGCCACATTATAATAAAAGGCCACCAACCTCCTGCAGGATCTTTGACTTCAGGTCATATTGCATCTTGCTGCAATCTTAATATTGGTTATACAAATTGTCAAAACAATAAGAGAAATACTCTAAAATAGATACAGTTTATAGTCAGTCCCCTCCCCTAAGGAATTCAGTACGGGAATGTAAACCCAAAGATTTATTTTTCTGTTCAGGTCATGCCTGGGGTAGACTGCTATGTAACTAAGCCCCCTAGACTGAAGTCAAGAGTTACACAAAGTTAACAGGCCTTTGTAGGCAAAAAAATCCTGAGATAGCCCTCCATGGATCATGAACTGAGGTAACAGCATTATCCCCACCACAAAGATGATTCAGAACAAGGCATGTGGCCCACAGCTTACCTCAACGTAGTCCCTGGCATGGCCCCAGTCTCTCTTAGCATCTAGATTACCCAGGCTGAAACAATCCAGCTGTCCAAGGTGAATCTTTGCCACCGATCGGCTAATTTTTCGAGTAACGAAGTTAGCTCCTGGAACAGGAATAAAAGATAGCATCAGCATAATTGCACTTTGAAAAACTGGCCACAAGAAACACCTTGTTGCTCTGCCCATCGCATTTTCTCTCAGTCTTCATTCATTCCCCTCATACTGCCTAGACCCATGCCATCATTTATCGTTTGAGTGGGCTAAGATGCTTCCAGTGCAAGTGTCACATTAGCTTCACTTTCACAGCAAACATCTTTCTTTGTGGGACTTCTAAGCATTCCTAATTTGCTGCCTCAGTGTTCAGTCCAGGCATAAAGCCAAAGAAAATCATTTGGAATGTCAGTTCTTAAACACAAAATGCAAAAGGTTACATAAAGAAGACAGACATCTTAGACCACCCTCATGTTTTTTTGTTGCCATTTCTTTTTTTTCCAATTTATTTTAAAGAATGCAATGCATACTTCTAAATATATTAGTTTATTAATTAAAAAGGTAAGTCTATCCAAAAAACTGTAACAGTTAATCATGCTCTACTTTTCCAGTTATTTGAGGTTCTTCATCCACTGATTTCAATGAGATTATGAAACTGTGATTTTACCTTTATCAAAGGCTGTATATTATTTTTATTATTATTTTAATAATATTTTTTTATTATTTTTTCATTCACTATATTTCACTGGAAGTTCGTGCACCCATTTCTGCTCCCTCTAGAGTTGTTTTAAATTGTACTTGCTTTTAGTTATTTTCATATCCTGAATTTTGGATTATGACTGCTCTTTTTCTAAAATATGGTCAACAGTTTCCTCAAAAGCAGAAGGATTTAAATTTAGACCATGAGTGCAGGCTAAACAAGCCCAATGGCATTTGCACACTAATGGGCCACAAAAATTAAAATTACATGCCTTTTTAATAGCTAAAAAATATGATTGAGTGGTGACAGATGATACCTCATCCAAATGGAAAGCAGAAAAGTTAGAGAAAATGACTGCACTTGTAAAATGATCTTAGCAAACTTAAAAAGTCCCAAGTAGTGCAGCTTGTGCATTCAATGCATGTGTATATTATTTTTTTCCTTACGGGAACTCTGCTCTTGAAATATGCATCTGAATGTTTTCTGTCAAAGAAATGCAAGCTGCTGCAAAATTACTAAATAATGTAAAGTGTGTGTTTCAGGCTCTAAGTTTTGCTTATAAGTATTTGCTTAAAAGTATTACAGTACATTTTTCATCATTTGACCCTGCTAAATGTAAAAAAAAAAAAAGTATACATGTCAACATCATATTCAATGAAGCAATTAATAAATTCAAAATTTATCACAGGATTAAGATACTATTTTAATTTTCTGTCAACTGCTGAACTAATTGGACTTCTGATAATTACGCATTTGGAATCAATCATTGTTTTGCGCTTGTCTTTTAAAGGATGAAAATAAAAAAAACATATTCCCTGAAAAAGTGTTTATATAAAAGGAAGTTTACAAAATAGAGTGATTTGCACAAGTTCATAAATAAAAATATTACTGGGAGTCTTTTTTAAATCAATGTTTCTCAATAATTGGACAAATGAGAGTCATCTGGAAGGATAAAAGCCCGACATTCTTTCTGGCTGCATTCTGCATACTCAGTAGGAGAAATATAATTATCCCAGAGATAAACCAGTGTAAACCACAGGACCAATACTACGATTCTGCTATTGAAATTCCTGAAAGAAAGTTCCCATGTTCCTGGCTGGACAAGCTTGCAGCAGGAGTGGAATTCTGGCTGAAGAGCAACCAGTGAAAGAATCTCTTTGGTTAGTCTGTCTGGCATTTCTCCAAAGATTTTTTCCTCATTTTTTTTTTTATGTTATCAAAGTGTTTTAAGGTCTTCATACAGATTATTACTAATTAATTTAAAATAGATTCAACCTATTACACAAACTGATTCACAGTAGCTCTGAAGTTTCTTAACCTTCTGCACTGAAATAATTTCAGTTATTATTAATATTAGTTAAACAATTGGAAAAGCTTTTTTTTTTTTTTTTTTTTTTAAGTATGTGGCTTGATGTTCCAGACTGCAACCAAGCAACAAGCAAACCTATCAGCTTTCAACGCTACATTCCCATTTGCAGCAAAAGCAGTGAGAGTTCTAATCATCATCTGCATTAAAGCAAGTTTTTTACTGTCAACCTCCACAAAATAATGAACATCAGCTTCCATTTTGGAGCAGTCACTTGCTGAACACAAAAAAAGAAGTATATTAGGTAATGTGTGAGGGAACTATGAAATCAACTTAACTTGAAATGTATAAAAGTAAAAATGATGCTGTGCAGGGAAAAAGAGCATGTGCAACAAATACTAAAAACTGCAGTCTTCTCACAGAGTCACTGATAAATGGAGAGAAACTATCCTTAAAGATCCTCTCCAAGCAAAATCAGGATATACCTCAAAATGCAGAATTTAAGACAGAGCATCAAGAGTGAAAAAATGAAAACCCTTATTTTCCAGAAACGTTCCAGTAAGGGTTCTTGGAAGTGCTTTAGCATTAAAGCTGTGGAAGAAAACTCTACTACTGTTCATTCTGAAACGTGATTTTTTCTTGCAACCAAGGACCGAATGGCACATTTCAAAAAACATTTAAATTTTATGGTTCATAAATACAGTTTAAATACCGATTCTCTTCAAACACAGTATCTTAAAATATCCTATGACACTTCATGTTTGATCCCATGCCATTAAATGAACATCATGACTAGAACTTCAGCTGATGCCCACTGGAGGCATACAAAATAGTTAAGGCTGTGTCAGCATTTCCATTATAAAGCCCTCTCGTAGGGGTTTGCAATCAGGCTATAAAATCTTGCTTTGGCCTGAAACTTGGCAGACGTAATGTCTCTATCCTCGGGAATGACTATCAAAAGATCTGTGTGAATTTCTACAGATATCCTTATATAACTGAATACAAAGTACCTTTTGAGACACTGAAATGGTTATTTTCCTTCTCAGGAGGTATTGAAGATTTAATTCAAATGTTGAACCTACGTGAACATTTTCCTCCACACAATGGCAAGTTGGTACCACTTAGAGGATCAAGAGAGCTGCTGCTGTGTCAATCACTTTGTCCTTCAGTCTGATTTCCATCAGCTCTGGATGATATATCAGCTGTAACGTAGTTACAGCTGCGTAAGGCCTACATTCGTATGCTACTACCAGCATCACTTAGTGAGAAAACTAACTTCTGCTGGTGGTGAAGAGAGAGACCAGAGTCCCACGAAGAGAGAGATCAGAGTCCCACGTTTGTCCCCTGGCTTTGTACCACTTCCTCAGTTCAGAGAGGCTTTGTATTCACTGCTCACGCCTCGCAGGAATAAACTTTCACATCTCTATTAAACGCATGATGCATTTTGACTTGCTCAAATACTTCCTCAAAGTGTGTGAGGATGGCACTGCTCTGGGAATTTGCTACCCTACAGTAACCAAGACAAGAGTCATGCCTGCTCCCTCACTAGGGATAAGTTGCCTTGCACAGCTATCCTTGTTACCTAGGCAGAAAATATATCCAAACCACGATGGCCCAAATTGTGTTGTGTCACACTGCTACTGACAGCACTGGAATTACTGGAGTGCTGCGGCAGAGGTCTGGCCAGGCATGGCAAAGGTCTCTTTGGTATGTCCTCACATTTTGGCAGTTCCTCAGTTGAAGACTGCCTTACAAGATTTTACGTTTTAAAGAGGCCTTAAACATTAGTTTTCATGATATTAACAGCTTTTCAAGAACCTTGGGCATTAGCTTAGGTTTGTTTTCAAAACCCAAGCCCTCCCTCTGAGACCATTAGCATCCCAATAGGAAGCATAAGGTCTGATTTACAGACTCTGTTTATCCTAGGCATGATTCTAAGCAAGGATTCCTCATTAAGCAGACCTGATCTGTAAAACACATACCCTGTCAGCAAACCATTATAAGAACAATACTGCAATAAGAAGAAATAGCAGAGGTATAATGCAATAGCTTGGGCTCTCCAGCTCACGCCTGTCACCCACCTGGCTCAGGTTTGCTCATCCCTCTGAGATGGATGCTGATTACACCTGGCAAAGTCACAGTTTTGAAAGCTGGGCACACATTTAAAACCAATGCTTTAGGAAGCACAATCTCAGTGCACCTACAATCCCAAAGCTGGGTGCCCCAAGAGAAAAAAAAAATAAAAATCCACCTCCCTGCACAAGTACACCTCATTCCCTTTGTCAGCACTGGAATTTCACCTTTCCTGTATTTATCAGGGAACTGATGTTTTCCTCAAGATTCAGGGGTTTACAAGAAGCAGGCAAATGGATGAATCAGCCTGAAGAGCTGCTGTTACAGTAACTGTTGCTGTTTTGTTTGTTTCTCCAACAACCATAACTTTCCCAAAGCTTAATACAAAATTCAACAGATGACAAACTACTGTCTGTGAAAGACTGCTGTGTATAACACTGGTTATACCATGTGTAAGAAATATCCATAATTAATCCATGTCATGCAATAACAATCTAATAACATTTAATAGCAATATTTATCAGCTGAGATGCAGTACCAGAACAGTTTATCAAGTTTCCATAACATCTTTTTCTTCATTTTGCATAAAAATATTAAAGTTTTCTGCCTCTAAAGTGCTGGCACAAGAAAAAGGGGATTTTTTTTCCTCTCCCAGTTTCTACAGTTCTGGCATACACTCTAGTGGGAGCCCAACATGTTCAAACACATTGTGTACCTGGTGCTTCTACTAACCCAGAGGAACATATTTCTTTTAGCATATATGTTGTAAATGATACATTTAATGAGATCATTAAAATGTTTTGATTGCCTGAAAATCCACACTGCTCATAATTTCCATTCTATTAGAAGCTTTTCCATTTTTTTGTGGCAAGCTGAAATTAAAAAGCAAAGCAGCACCCAGTTTTTCTCAGAAAAGAAGTCCAGAGACTCCTTTAGTTTGTACTGATGAAAATCAGCACAAACTATTCTGTAATCAATGGAATTACGTTAATGTAAACCAGACGAAAAATCAAATTACAGATCTTTAAATTAAC